AGGAAGGAAGGAAGGAAGGAAGGAAGGAAGGAAGGAAGGAAGGAAGGAAGGAAGGAAAAAGAAAGAGAACAAAAAAGAAAAACACAGATTTATGGTATTAAAACAGGTTACAAAAATAAAACCTGGGGTTAATAGAGCTTCATCTGCAAGCCCAGTTTGTATATTCGTTTGTTTGTTTGTTTGTTTGTTTGCCTTATAAGGCTCCACATGCTTTTGTATGGAAAGCATTAGCTCGCTTTTACTTGATTACCCCTCCTCCAGGACTGATGGGAACAAGACTGTAGACAGTTTAAGCTCCTCTCCAGCCTTTGGAAGGAAGCAAAGAACAGAGATCCTTTTGGGAAAAAGACCTCCCTGGACTAACAGGCTACAGTGACAGCTATATTTGGGTGGAGGTGGATCAAGTCTTAAGCACCCATTAACTTTCATTTGCTAGCTTTAAAAACAGATCCAGTAAAATCCCCGAGCTGAGTCTTTTCTCTTGGTCTTTGACATCAACGTCAGCAACTATGGAATGCTGACAGAAGGCAAAAAAAAAAAAAAAAAAAAAAGATGATTTCAAGAACCTAAGCCACACACATCTTATAGCAAAATCAACAACCAAGACCCATGATGCTCCAATGTATTCTGATACTTGTAGATAAATTTGATGTAATTCAAATTGTAAGCCATGAAACTTCCTCTACATATGCTCAGATTTAAAGAGAACCAACAAAGTAAGAAAGTTCTCTCAGACAGCATTTATCAGCTGCCTATTCACAAATTTCTAGCTAAAGATGACTGCCCCTAATAAAAGAAGACTTATTCAAAACTGTATCAACTAGATATGTCAACCCTAATTGGTGTTTCCTTATCCAAGTTCAAATCCCCTATCAAAGGGTGTGAATAATTAGCACTGTCTGATAAACGCCGAATGGAACCACAGTGGGCCGAGCAGCTTTGAAGGAAATTCTAAGGGTCTAAGTTCTCCTCTGCCACAGGTGTGTACTTACTGACACATTCGAGAGTCAACATCCTGAACCTTGACTATGTCCAGAGGCATCAGAAGAAGGCAGAAGAACTAACCATCAGAAGAGCAGCCCAAGGAGTCAAGAGAAAATATCAAGGTGATGCTGAGGACAGTCATCTGTCCTGATAAAAGGCATCTTCTACAAACACCAACAGATAAAGGTAAGAAGTCACAGATCTTAGGGAAATGTCAAACTTAACTTGTTAGAAACCTATTGTGCTTCTAATCCCCAGAGGGAAAGGAGAGCAAAGATACAAAAAGCATATTGAACTGAGAGAAAATGGGAACAGGGGCGTAGCTCCAAAGGTTTGCCTAGTGATCTGATCTGGGCAACTGAAGGCCTTTTAAGGAAGCGTCGATGAGAAGGTTGAAAGAATCCAAGAGCCACTTCATAAGTAAGAGAGTAATTTCACCTTTCCTGTACTTTTTAGAATTCATCATGGCCTATAAAGCTCTTGTCATCATTACAGGGGCTGCCAGTTAAAGAAATAACACTGTCATAAATTTGCTTTTATGGAAAAAAATAGCAAAGTATTAAAAAAAAAAGTCAAAGCTACCCTATTTAAAGAGACCGATAAAGAAGGCCATGGGACTGCTACCCAGTAAGTGCCCTAAACATGAAGCCAACTGGAATTGTGTTCTACTATTACATCAAAGGACACAAAAGAAAGTGATAAGAGAAAGAATCAGATGCATGGTCTTCTGAATTATACATGAAGTACTGTTTCCATTCAACAGGGGAAGCTGGGAACATCTCACACCTAGCCAGTTTTAAAACAAGTACCAAAACCATATTTTCTCAATTCATGTCCCTTATTACTTACCTGTCTGTCCTTCATTACAGACAGACGCTTAATGATATACGATTGCCAGCACCCTTTATAGTACACCAAAACACTTTTTCATAAAATAACCCACTTAATCCTTACAACAAACCCAAGGTAAAGGTTATTAATATGCCTGGGCTCAACCAGCTATAGTTCCAAAGCCAAGAGCCCAGGTGAATGCACCGCAAAGGTCAAAACCAAGACTTGCTGGCTTCTCCTCTGGTCCCACACATTTGCTTTTTTCTTAGAAAAAGAGCCAACTCCTATTTGTACATAATGTCTATTTGAGTGGTGACAACCACTATCTCTTATCAACCTGGCGTCTCTCAGATACATGGTCAGTCTTCAATGTCTAAGAGGAAAAGTCTTTGCTTACCTGGTCCTTCTCTGGTTTATCAGAAATGTCATTTAGACTGGAGGATGTCAGGTTCCTATGGGTCATGGCTGGGCTACCTGGAAAAACACAAGTGAACTCCGATTAGAAACTTCTTTCCCAGGGCACAGACTCTGGCTAAGCATTCTGTAAACACGGAGAGATGGTGATGAGAACAGTGACGAGGCTTTTTAATCCCATTAGATCCTGTAGAGTTTTCCCGAGTTCGGGCTGGAATATAAATACAGCTAAGTGGAAAGTATGTACGATCCCAAACACTTTGTCTTACTTCCTGGATAGAGTTCCAGTTAAGTTAAACCACAGAGATGTCTACACCAGTAGGCGTAAAAACCTCTTTCCCCAGCTGTGACCGCATCTCTCTCTCTCTCTCACCGCCTGTTACACAGGTCTCATCTACTGCCCCCTTTTCCTTTGCTTTTACCCACACACACAGCTCCTACCTATCAGCATCAGAACTGCTCCAGAGTGCATGCCTGGGTTCCCTTACCCTTGGCCTGGGCCATCCCTCCAGACACGTGAGTCTCTCTGGTCACCCAGAAAAGCTACCTACCCTCCTTTGCCCAGCAGACATTGGTCACAAATTGTCTCCCTTGTGGGTATCTGGCCCAGAATTCCCAGTCTTTGCCTCAAAACAGTATTGTTGCAGGCTCCCTGACCACTCAGTATTCCTACTACCAGGGTAAACACTTTCCTTTTTCCTCTGTAACATGCCAAACCTCTTCAAGGAGAAGGATGAATTGTACAGGGCACAGGACACTGCACTCATCTTCCTGTTACAGCCAGAGGTCAAACTCACTATTAACCTCCCCAGTTATTCCCAACACAGTTACACACAACAGAAGGGACATCCAGAAGAGCCATAGGCTGGCGGACTGCAGAGAGCCCATGTTAATCAACAGGATCCTGGGCTTCCATTTTGCATTGGGACCTGAAATTCCTAGGCTTATTAAGCAAAAAACAGTAACTCTTCAAAGCCAAGGCGTTTGACCCAAGCCCTGCAGGGTGCTGAGCAATGCACTCTCGATTAATCCTCAATGATCTGACTCAGGCAAGTCTTCCCAGCAAGGGGGCAAAGGTTGAAAAGCAGCACCAGGTTCAAGCACAGCTTCTCCTTGACTTGGAACCATTGTTCACAGACTCCAACTCCCTCCAATGGAAACTCCAACACACAATCTTACAAAAGACGAAAATCTGCCCCTAGTAAGTTAATGTCGGCGTCACAGCAGCTCTTTAAATAATATAATCCCCTTGAACCACTCTATCAGAAAAGACCCAGTGTTCTGCGCCAGGAAGACGGGGTATTTTCCACTCCGCTGCATTTCATTGAGTAAGCATGGCCTAGATCTCTTAAATCCTTTACCTGGCAGGGTGTTTTATTCTAGGAAAATTTGAGCACAGGGCATTATTTAAAAGAAAGTAACATCTGACAAAGTGTTTCATAAGCAAAATTAAAGGAGCCCTGTTGAAGGCAGCATTTTGTGCTTTGAACTGCATTCTAAAGTTCCAGTGTTCGCTTGATTCAAAAGGTGTCAGGCACAGACCTGACCACCCCAGATAATGCTGAGACCGAAACCAGTGGGAAACGATGAGTACGTTTAACTTTGTTCTTTCGTTAAAAAAACAAAACCGGTCATTGACACTACCTGGAGGAAAGTTCTTCCTGAAGGAGAAGTATGAAGGATTAATCAATGAAGGCTGAGCAGTCCTGATCACACGGACAAGTTAAACACAGCCTTCGGTGAGAAACAGACCGGGCCGACTTCTAATTATTACATTCATTTTATTTAAGTGGCAGTAATGATATAATCTGAAAGTTAAATAAATTAACGTTTTGGCCTAACAGATTAAATATATGGATTTGCTTTGGAAATCTATGATAAACACTGTAAGGCATATTTGAACCAACCACTGTCCTTGCCACAAAGTCTGGACAGCTAAAAGCCAAAACACTGAGGGTTTTGTTATAATGATAATCTTGATTGTCGTGACAGTCTTGCCAAAGAAACAAATCCTGTCTCATTTCTCTCCTTCCGAAAGACACCCATCTTGTGGCTAATCTCTAGTCACTCTTTGTGGGGGGCAGGGGGAGATGCAGGCTGAAGAAGGATACAGGAACCAGATGAGAAGAAGAAGTCTGCGTTAACAGACAATCAAATCCACTGACCCTCCTAAATTTGAACTGATTTCCTGTAATAAAAATAATTAATATGAATGTTCAGTTTTGTAACATATATTGTAACAGCTCCGAGGCCGGCAAATGCAGGACAATAGGTAAGATGATTGGAATTGGTTAGTCTTTTCCTATCTCTGCCCCTATCAGATGCAGCATCCTCATGCCCAACACCTGGAGTCCGAGACAACCAAATGCTTCCCAGTGCTCTGACTCCTTGGTAACCAAAGTGAGGACGCAGGGCCAGCAGCACCCACATCACAGGGGCACTGCTCATTAGAAGCAAGTTCTGTGGCTCACCCCAGACTAGCTCCAACAAAACTCTGGGCATGGAGCATAGAAAAGGAGTTTTATCCAACCTTCCAAGTAGCACTGCAGTGTGGTAAATACAGAGAACCACTACTCAAAATGAAAAATCATCTTGGCAGGCAATGCGCGGCTGGGACTCTGCATTGACAACACCACACGGAGCCAGGAAAGTCAGAGGCATCATTCTGGCAACTTGGCCTGTTGCAAGGCCACTACTGTCACCTGCCCTTTCTGCAGCAAATCATTAAATTAGCAACCTCACTGCATAAACACACTCGAAAGAATATTTGGTTTTTCCCTGATTCATCACCTACACAACCAAATCAATAAGCAACTTTGTTTTGGAAACTCACTTTGGCCACAGAAACATATCACCAAAACCAAAGAAGACAGGGCAAGAGCCAAAAGAGATTACACACTAGACTGTATGTGGGAATCAGAAATCTGTGTGTGGACTTTAACAAACACGAGAAGCTGTTACACAACGGGCCACTAACAACGAGGTATTGTATACATTTTGCAACAGATATGCAACAGGACATGTTGTCAGAATAAATCAGTGCTCTGTATTTAGAGTCGGGGCATGTAATATAAACTCATTACGCCGCAGCACTGAGTGAGAGGGATAGAGAAAACTGTCACCCGGCACCAATGGGAGAAACATCAGAGTGTCCTAGAGGATGTTACCTTTGGGGACAGGTGGTAACTTACTCAAGACTGCATTCAAGTCCTCTTTCCAACTAAAATCTGGGACATTCAAATGTCTTGGGACTATTCTTGGCCCAAAGGAACTTTGCTTCTAAAGTGTGATTGTTTGTTTGTTTGTTTGTTTTAAAAAAAGGGAAGAACCAGTCGAGTGCACAGTCATAATTAATTTCCCTATCACTGTTTTGGGGCTATAGGAAAAGAAAGCATTGGAGAATCATATTTCCAAGCAGTTTCACAGAGTCGAGAGCTGTTTCATTTTCAAAGTACCCATTTGGCAGGTACACACTGTTTCTATAAAAATTAATTACACTCTGTACTGCTTGAAAAATCATTGTTTTTCTTTACTATATGTTTAGCAATTTAAAAAGTCCTTTGCAATTGTATCTATTAGGTACTTTAAAAAGAGGTGAAGAAATGTACAGCATAGGAAAATGATATTTAAATGTGTGCATAAAATGCAAATATTTATATAATACAATGAAAGTTTAACCCCCACCTTACCTCATACCTCCATAAGAAGCTAATAAAATACAGAGAGGCAAGCTAAAACAAGGGTTTCCTGACCTATGAACCACACTGGATTCTTTATTCTCATGAGTAACTAAATAACAATTTTCAGCTACTGAATAGAAGGAATATAATGGCACATTTATAATGAGGTTGACTGAGAAAGTCTAAAAAAAAATGGCCTTGTTTTCTATGACAACAGATTATCCAGAGATATTCTCAACCACAGAAAAATCAAATCAACAACAGCAACAGAAACAGAACAAGATCTCTAAGCCCCTCCATTCCTAGTCACCACCCTTTCCATAAAATGCAAAAATCAGCAGAGTGTAAGTATCAGGCTAAGGAAAGTGAGAAAACATTGCCAGCCATTTGGAGCCCCTTAAAGGAATTTCACAACTAAGAAACATCAATTTGGGTATCTTTGATCACTTCACTTTTTAATTTTTTTGTTTAGGTGATTGTATTGTTTGTGATATAACATAAATTTTAAGCCCAATGTCAAGGCCCTCATTCTGTCTTGTTCGCAGCCCCTCCATTTGGAAACGGCTATGAATGCAACTGTGCTAAACCCATTTCATATGGAGGGAGGTGCTCACTGGATGCAACTGCAGGAGCCTTTAGCCTTGGAAAGCCTAAAGGTAAAGAAGGAAAAAGTGTGTAACTGGCCCAGAAGTCACAGGGCAGAAAGACACAGCCAAGCTGGCCAAAGTATCTGTGTGCTACCAGTACAACAGAAGCCAGAAGCCAGAAGATTGAAAGAGAAGCCTGCAAAGGAAAATCCAGGAAGCGAGGCAGAAGGCAGGTATAGGGAGTTCAAGAGAGCCTGGGGCAGAGACAGCCAGGAAGACTGAAATAACTCAAAGCACGTGAGCACTACGGAAGGAGGAGTGAGTCCGGTAGAAAGAAGAAAACATCAAAAGATTCATAGAACTATCAAAGTAGGAGTGAAGTTCCGCCAGAAGCTGAAGTCATTCTCAATGCATGGGGCAAGGAAAAGAAATGCCCTCATATGGCGAGCTGGATGCATGCAGAGCTCAGCTGACAGAGAACACCTGCATCCTGAAGCCTTCCCAGATTCTATCCTCTTTAGTCGACCACTGGCTGCTCTTTCAGATCTCTGCTACCCAACTCTTCTGGTTGATCTGTTTAACCTCAACTCCTACACTCTGGTTTTTGTTGTTGTTGTTGTTTTTCTGTTTTACTGTTCTGACTACTTGTGAATTTTTTCTAGATTCATTCTTAGATCCCAGACATTTCAAATAAACAACCTGCCAGAGCAAAATTTTTCTAATTCATGATGACTTAGTTCTAATAATGATAATGAATATTTCAATTTCACTGTGACCTAAAACAGCTAAATTT